GATGTGATCAATCTGAGTCCAGGCTTGAAATGCAGAGGGAGGACGCCAGGTAGCACATCGGCGGTGACTGTGCCGAAAGTTAGTGCTAGCCAGAAACAGGTTGTAGTCTGTGCACATTTGCAGTAGACGGTCCCCGTTATCTGTCCTGCGACCAACAAGTCCCCATCGGCCACCTAAACGATATTAAATGATATTAAAAGTTCTCTTCATACGTATTTTGTTCACTTGGTTGTTCAAGGCTACTGGGTTCTATGTTTTATTTTATTTAAGTTTAGATGGTTCTTGTTGATAATCCTGGACCGTATATTCCTTATTTAGCATTTCGTTAAACACAGTGTTGTGTTTATGTTCTATTCAACTTATTACACTTTTCAGTGATTCCATGATTCACCGTATGTAATCATTTGAATAAAAGTGTACCATATGTATTATATGGAAGAAACTGCAGTGATATAAACACAAAAGGATTATTTAACTTATTATAGTTTGTTTCATTTTATAAGTTGTGTATTTCGATAAATTTATCTTTGTTTGTATCCTAGCTAATTAGGTCACTTCAGTCTGGTTATCTGACCTGAATAAAACAAATCATAGTACCAGTAATCGCTAAAACATCCAAGAATTCTAATCCCTGTTTCTTATGATGAACTTCAAGATAAGTTGATAGGAGGTTTTACATATATTGTCAAAATATGTCGTATTTATTCATCTTGTCTATTTAAAATTGCATCATGTAATAATTGATCTATCAGTTTATATATGTTGTCTTGTTTTTTTAAATTTTATTCAGGTTAGCTCATTGAGTCTTGGAGTTTCAATTGGGATTCAGACAGAAGAGCACAATGAGGTAGATGCCTCAAAATCGGTGTATACAGTTAATGCTTCTATTCCTCACCGGGATGAAAAACTAAATGAAAACAATAGTACATATATATCAGAAAACTCAACAAATCAAGTTAAACGAAACCTTCGGAATGCTTCTCGTCTACGACTTAAGCAAAATGGCGGCCGGTTAACTCAAAGACTTGGTCCACCAAAACTTCCCAATTTACCTTCTCCTATTCCTTCCTCTGTTTGTTTATCGGATAGTGAATTAGAACTTAGTATCACTTTACATGAAGAGGAGGTTGCTAAAGAAAATATCAATAATACAAATGATGAAGAGACAGACGAAAATGATGATGAGGATGATGTACACAGTTGTAAATCTGAACCACAAAACACTAATCGTCGACCTGTACGTCATAAACAAGTAATCAAAACACTTGTGAAAGCATCTACAAAAGAACAAAAAAGACAAACACGTTCCACTACTCATAGACGTCTTCCACCTCTAGCTGAATCAACTCAATTATTACCAGATTCATTTTTTCAAGAACAACTTGATGAAGCATTAGAAAGTGTTGATATTGAACTAAAAAAAACGGAACAACGAAATCTTAGACAGTTACATTCACGTCAAGCAACACGTAAAAGACGTTGATTAGTGTTGTTTTTTGAAAATTTACATTACTGTAAATATTGATTCTTATATTTTCCCTTCTTATTTTTCTCAAACAGTATATAATAAGTTTTAGCATTAGGTTTATCTAATTGTATATTGATAGAAAAAGAAAGATTTGACTATTTATTGTATGCATTTGTTTCAGGCTCCGAGTTGTCATGTTAACATTGTATTATATACCTAAATGTAGAATTTTCACTCATTTCCCCACTACACTACCCCTACATGATATATTTACACAATCATTATTATTATATAAGCAAATTTTATTTCTATTCATTTGTGTTTATAAACATTTATTAGGTACATAAAAATAGATGACGAATATGTCTTTTTAGAGTTACTCCGAGTTTACGTGAATTACAATGTGGACTGTAATTCGTAATAATTTTAAGCCATACATGAAGTTTAAATAAAAGTTTAATTGAACTATTTTTCAGTGTTTTTGAACGTTTCACAATGAAAGAAGTCTGTGCATGTTGATTCGAGTAGATGCTAATGTGTGTGTATAACGAGTATTTGTTATGGTACATATATCAAGGAAATGTATCATACTAAAGATCTCAGATGGAAAAAAATACCGACTCAGTGGTCTAGAGGTCAAGCGTTCGCGCGTGAGACCGAAAGTCCTGGGTTCGAACCCCCCACACTGGATCGTGGATAAGCACTGCTGAGAAGTCATATACTAGGACGAAACGGTCACCCAGTGCTTCCAAGTTTTCAACGGTGGTCTAACATTGATCGATTCATGATCTGAATCGAAACTTAACAATTGCCATAACTCGTTACTGAGAAAAATGCTTGTATAGGTTTTCGTCTTGGTGTCTCTTATTGTCAGAGATACACTTTATTATCAAGTACTGAGGATAGATATAGGATACTTGGCAATGATGGCAGATCAGTTGATATAGTTGTCAATCTTCATTTATTGAACTGGTTGCAATATATATTACATATGCGCAATCATCGCCCATTTTGATGTTCAATGTTAACTGCTGTAGGTGTAGGTTGGAATAAAGCTAAGTTTGTCAAACCATAATATGGCATCACTCCTTGAAGTCACCGATTGTTGATCAGAGCTATGTTGTCAGATGCTGAATTAATAGTCAATGTTCACGTTTAGTTGTCGGGTGATATGGGACAGGATTGGTTCCAGTGATACAGACATATCCATTCTTAGTCTCACCTCAAATCTTGGGTTCTAACTTTATGCTTTGTATTCCATGAATTCTCGAATCATATTCTCTATGCGTAATCTTTCTTATTTACAACCACTGATACTGGTAAGAAGTCTCTAACTCTGGGATTTATCCTGATGGTTTCATTTCACTTTGTTGGCATGGTATGCCAAATTAAACTGATCCAAATTTGTGTCTCATTCTACAATCATTATGACTGAGTGAGACGTTTAAAAAAAGTCCAAAGTAGTTCCTATGGTATGAACATAGATTAACCCATTGAAAATCTTACCGTCAACGTACAGTTCTTTCATGGAAAAATGGTGACAATCCATCTAACTGGAAAAATTTATTTTAATCCGAAAGCTATTATTTCAATGTTATGCTTCGCTCCTAACCCTACGTATAAATGTTAATTCTCGAAAGAAGTCGTTGGCAAGACTACAATTTATGAACGACCTTTGAACGAATCTTAAGTGACTTTGAGAAACATTAGCCAATGAGAAAACAGTAGAGTGAAAATATACTGTACAAAACTAGAGAATTAAAGCGGATACCTTTCTTTTACAGTGTTCAAAAACTTGTCAAGTTTAGAAAGAGGTTCTGAAATCGTAATGCATATGGTAGAGGGAATCATCTATATTTCTCCATAATAGTAGGCCTCTGGAGCCACTATAAGGTGACAAAAACTCTTTCAGCCTCGAGCATATAGCTTCACAGTTGTTTGTGTGCACTCCGGTTGTTAGGTCCACAAAATTTCGCTTATGGATAACGGAACGATACACATAAAATAAGTCTATGGAGGCATCTGTACGCTCTCCAATCATCCGTATATATTGTAGTACCCGGCTGCAGCCATTGTTACTGATACTTTTATTATGCAGTTCTCAACAATTGTCGTAATTTGCCTTAATCTTAATCTAGACAGGTAAAAAGTCCTATTCTAGCAGATTTTTTCCAACACATTATATCGAAAGACAGTATCATCACGGTGGTCTACACAAGGTTCACAAGTCATTTGATTATCACAATCACAAATAAAGGACTTTCTTAGTAGTCCTATTTGTTGCAGCCGCTCAGTTATCACGTTTTTTCTAAAATCTGCTGTGAACCGTTACCATCAGGTACTAAACTTGGCTCCGTGACCTTGAAATCCCTCAAACGCTTCTGACTGGCTCGTCCATAAATTATAGTCTCGCCAAATCGTTAAATAGCCGTTATTAACAAATACTGTTGTACTGAATACAATTTCATTAGATTTCATGGACGACGTACTTAATGTAGGTTATAGCATAATTTCTATTAAAAGTGATATGAACAGAGAAAAAAGAAGCCTTGACAAACTACGGAAGCTATTTCTCGGGACGTTATTTCATTTAATTCAAAGCTTGTAAAACAGTAACATTTATTTTTGTTCCTAGTCTATTATACAGAACATAAGCTTTCGTTTGATGTATGATTCACTGCCATAGCCCTTTTTGTTCCAAAACTATTGTAGTTTAAACATATTATATTGCACTCTATTTTCTACGCTAATCCCCAGTTTTGGAACATAATCGTATTTTCCTAATTATTATACGTTGTGGCTGGGTTAGTCATCTATTTATTCATTTATCTTTTTACACTGGTCTGAAATCAGGAACTAGATCACAATCGATAATAAATCGAGTAGTGTTCCAGTTGACTTGTCTTCTCTGTATCCCACTTCGAACTCACGCCTACTATCCTCAAGGTTTAAGCCGGTCAGCCTATCGCGTCAAGGTCTTAATCTAGATGAGACAAGTTATCCTCAGCACCAAAAGTGGGTAGACAAATCAAGGAAGTAACAAAAAGTTTGAAGGAAACCAAACTTTAACAACCGTTTGAATAAATTTCCAGTTAACTAGAGTTTATTATTACACTGCAAAATTTATTGAGAATCATCGTATAAAATAACTCAGTGTTATTAATAACTAATTTTAACAGCTCATAGTAAAAGGAAAACACTTAGATATCATTATCAACCATCTGATATATATATATATATATATATATATATATATATATATATATATATATATATATATATATATATTTGGTCCCAACACCAAGGTTAGACTAAATAGTTGGTTATTGAATTAATCATAAACATATTTTTATTACACATGCCAATAATGAGGAAAATTATATTTCTGATGTTTCGCAACTTAATTTAAGCCACTTCCTTAGAATGATGTCTTAAATTAAGTTGCGTAACATCAGAAATACAATTTTTTTACTCATCGTGATATAACAAAAATATGTTTATTATATTCATTTAAAACATATAACTGTCATTATTATTATTCAATTTGTTTAATATAAAATACAGTTATTACTTACAAAATAAACAAAGTAGTATATTAATCCATACGATTTATTTATATATATATATCTATATGTATAATGTTCTCTTATTATTTTGTAGAAAAATAGTACAATTTCTGTATAATTTGTTTTCTCTCTCTCTCTTAAATTAATTAATGAAAGACTTGGTGTATTACTGTTCAATCTTGATTGTGTTTTTTGTTTGTTTTACAATATTAACAATAAAATAATTGAATAAATTCATGAAAACTATACAGAAATAAATCAAATGCACATCAAACACATTGTTTGCTTTTTTTCTGTTCTATCTTGTTTTCCTAACTGTAGTACAAAAGAAAAACAAATAATACTACATTATATGTTAGGATCGATGAAATATAGGACTTCCAGTGAATGATGTTATACTTTCACCAAGATTACTTAATAATTTATTACGATTTGTAGAACTTGTTAAACTTCCACTAGATCGAGCTTCTTTTTTAACACATTGTGTTGTTTCTTCAACCTATTGAATAAAATATAAATAATCATGAAAATGTATTTAGTTATTTTAATTTATTTTACTACTAGAGAGTTCATAGATATACAGAGTTCATCATTTGCGTGTGGGCTGTGATACTGCCCGGGTGCCCAAACCGAAGCAGGTGGTTTTCTTAGGGGGCCACACCTGGAGCCTTTGACCTAAAGGTCTAACCCACAGGGCAGTGGAGCATTGTAAGGAGATGCAGTCCCATGGTAGCCGGTGACCAACAATTGGTTCATACACCATTTGTTCCCACAGGATACTAGAGCCCATGTGCACCATTGGTTTGGGACCCGGGTAAAGCGCCGGACATTCGCTTCTCGTCCTCCCATTTTCGTAAAGAACACCCGTGGTACGAGAAGGCAGTGAGTAGGACTTCCCTGGCAGAGGCTGTATACGCGTGGCCGTGTGAGAGTATTTCGAGAGTGTGGGCGGACCCACCCCACTCTCGGCCATACCAGGGCATTTGTGTTCAAATAAATAAATAAATATTTTACTACTAACATAAGGTCTATGATTTGATGTTACATATAACGATATTAATAGTCTGGTCATATGATTAGCCTTATTAATTAATTTCATTGATTCTTTTTTTTTGCATTACATTCTCTGTACAACTGTTTCTTTTCTCAATAGTTGAGATCATGAGCCGATTGAAGCTAGATCACCATGGAAAATCTGGAAGCACTGCTGAGGACTCCTATAACAAGACGAAATGGTCGTCCAGTGCTTCCCTGTTTTTTCATGGTAGTCTAGCTTCAATTGACTCATGATTTCAACTATTCAAATTACTACAATCTCTACAAAATTCCTTGTAAAACTTTTTTTTCTATCATTAATTGATGTCATTATTATTTTGATATCTTTAGTGAAATGTAAATTATGGGATTTTGAACGAATGCATATTTATACTATATTCTATATTGTTTATAACGTAATAGCTTAGTTTTCAGCCTATGTACATTGTGTACATAATCTTACTTCTAATTTTTGGTGATAGACATTCTTGCTTCTACTTTTTATAATGAGTAATGTTTACTTTTCGATCAGTTGTTCATATTTCATCTACATTGCTGATTGATATCCATTTCAATTTACTAGATTTCACTGTGTGGTGTAATTATTATTTATGTAAACAATGTTACGTCTCTAGATTCTAATTCCTATTCTCGTCAGTATGTTTATACTAAATAACCGATCCACTGAATTTAAGCTTACTGGTCTGAATGTTTCTTATTCCTTGTTGATATCTCGGATTTTTTTATCCTATGCGATATTATGGGACACCATCAAGTAATTATAAATTACTAAATTACGCTTAATCTTGAAATACAGTTTGTAAGTTAACTTATAGAAAATAATAAATTATTTGATGCTCCACAACCCTGTACTGTAGTTATCATGAACTCACTACTGATTATCTCTGAGGTAATTTTCACAGTCATGGTGAGAAGCCGTGATCAGTGGAGTTTAATCGTGTCGAATGTGAAGCAGTTACGCACCGAAGATAATGGAAGATGGTCGCGCAATATATTGGATTGTTTGAAGCTCGAAATTAACACCGTCGGATGCCCGTATCAGTGATCTAGAAGTAAAGCGTTCACTCGAGATCGTATGTCCTAGTTTCGAATCCCGTATATGGGATCTTGGATGAGCACTGCTGATGAGTCCCATACTAAGACAAAACGGTCATCTGGTGCTTCCAGGTTTTAATGGTGGTCTAAGACTGATCGGTTCATGGTCTCAGTAAAAACAACCTCCACAACTCTATACTGATAAACTCTCCGAAACGAACTTTTGTACTCGCTAGGAAGTTTCTGTAGGTTCTGATTATTGCTGATAAGTGGGTCGACATTTGTCATAAACCATAATTATTTACTTGTAACTAAGTATATTTCATTTTGGACCTCATTGATTTCTTCCATTCCAATCATATTGTCTGCTTTTTCTACAAATGAACTACTACTGTACTACACTATAACTGATTAGTGAGTACTCAGTGTCCGATCAGTTGTTAATAATCTAGTCTTATTGGTCAGCTGCGGCCGGAATATCTCAGTGGTTACGTTTCAGATTGTAAAACTGGGTCACGTGAGTCTTAGTCTCACTGGGAGCATCAGTGCCGATCGATTTTACAGGTTCCGCATTGTTTTCTACCGAATATCTTCAATCACTTAACACTATGATGCACTATTTATTAATCATATTTATTTTGTTATCATGAGACATTTATTGTATGTTGTCGTGCTCACCTGAATTCTTTGAATAACGGTTTGATATACAATAGTATTTAATACATTTTTAGGCAAGCCTTGTAATTCAAAGGCACTGAAAATTTTCTGCAAAAAATAAGAGTATTGTAAAAGTATATGGTTAGTTGATGGACATGATAAATAGATTCCATAGATTATTACTCATATAAGCAATGTTAATTGGGGTTTGAAGCGATAAGTGCTGGGTTTGTGTCTCAATGAAGACGTCAACACAAGGATCCAGGTACAACTGACTGAAAGCACCAAGTCAGATGAAATGCTCATCCTGGATTTTCCTTCTTCCAACTTAATAACAACTTTTGGCTTAATGACAATATCTGAACGATTTACTCAAGACACATGTACCAAAAGAAGCCGGTTAAATGTAGTCTTGAATATCAACAATGGGAACAAACAAACTCTTACAAAAAATGTAAAGTTCAGCTTGGAGATCCATCTACGGAAAGTGATATGGCAACCTAGTGGGTCAAGCTCTTGGTTTTAATCGATGGTTCGTAGATTTGAAACCCGTTCACATCTAATTCAGTTTTGGCAAACGAATATTGTCACTACCTCTAATGTGAAACCGGATATATAAACCTCTACGTGATAAAGGGTTGCTTACAACTTAAGGTTCACAAATTCATTACAATTCATCAATCTTTCATTCTTGATACTATTTATCTCACTCTTAACGTACTATTACCGTGCTTTCATCATCCATGTACATTTAAATATGATACACGCAATATATTGCAGTTTTGATTCGGCTAGACTAATAACTACATTGGAACGTGATCGATAGAATCAGAAGAACATTAGTTTATAACTGGGAGATCAATTCATGATATCTCAGGAATTATTTCAATTGAATTTTTCAAATAGTAAAATCTTTCTCTTTTAATATAATTTCAAAGAAAAACCTTCAATATAATTCAAAATAGTTCACATACTTTAACAATAATTGAAAGACATTTAATTTGATGTGGATGAAGTAGAATACTTTTACGTTGAATTAACCAATCGTAAATAGCTTTCATTTGACGTGTATACCATATCTATCAGTGAAATAGATAATTATATTTCATAGGAATCAAATTTATAGACAGTTTAATTGTGTGAAAAATACTACAGTAAACTAGTTCATATTAATACATGTCAATATCGTATTGAATTCGTTCACTGTTACACCATATCTCTTTATCAATATATAAATTTCTATTAGGATTAATGGTAGAATAATGTTGAATCTATATGATCAAACATGGCTGATAAACATAATATGTAGTTACAGGATTGTTCTTATTAAAACAATTGTCAATAAGAAGTATCTTGTTCGATTTCAAGTACTCTATTTTTCATTCCTAACTGACTCTATTATATATATATATATATATAATAACGAACTAATCATGTATATATTTGTATATTCTACTTAAACTGTTATATCCCAATAAGAATGATGAATGGTAGTTTTGGGGATCCATTTATGGACCAATACTATGAGTATATTTTTATCGTATAATTGTCATGTAACTAAACTGTTCATATTTATGTCCCACTTATTATGAGCTTTGTTTTGACCTATGAACTATTATTATACGATTTACCATTCTTGAATTATTCCCTGTATGTTAATCACTACATCCCTCATTCACATCCACTTTCGGCCAAATATTGTACAAATGTTATTTTCTATTTTATGGTACGTTGTAGTCTGTTTGATTGGTATATAAACTCAGTATGTTTGAAATATAACGATTTATATTGCAGAGGCTCGGGTTGGTGTTCTGAACTTAATTGGCTGGTCTAGGCGGGAAGCAGGATCAATCAGAACTCCAGGCTGCTCGAACGTGTTTTACGCGTCACGTGTTCGATCGATAGTTCGCTGCTCTCTGATTGGCGGTGTCGTTGCGTTATCCAATATACAGGACACACAGGTTCACAAGTTATAGCATAAACTTACACTTTTTGTAATGGCTAGTATTTTAATGTGTTGTTTAACGTTACAGAAATAGAATGATGCTTAAATCTGTGACGTTACAATTGGAAATTATTTTAATCAATAGTCTACTTCTTTATGACGTAATAATTTATGGCTGTACAGACTTACTCAGTATGTAATATTTTACTGAATAAGAATTATTAATATAGTTTTATTTCATCTCCATCCATAGATCTAATGAAACCTATTTACCTTATTTCTTTTAATACTTCAATATTACTCCTTAAATGTTAAACGTCTGTTTGTTAAATATACACATTTTCAATAGTTGAGATCATGAGTCAATTAAAGCTAGACCACCGTGGAAAACCTCAAAGCACTGGACGACCGTTTCATCCTATTGTTGAACTCCTCAGGAGTGACCATCCATAACCCCGCCTCACGGGATTCGAACCTAGGATCTACTAGTCAGTTTTGGGGTAGTAAATCGCTGATGACAATGTTGGATGTGTCGTTCAATTTCGTGGACCAGTTGAACTTAGATATTAACACCATTGGATGCCGGTTCAGTGGTCTAGAGGTTAAGCGTTCGCGCGTGAGACCGATAAGTCTAGGGTTTAAAATCTCGCTAGGCGGGATCGTGGATGTACAATGCTGTGGAGTCCCACAACAGGATGAAACAGCCGTCCAGTGCTTCCAGGTTTTCTATGTTAGTCTAGCTTCAATTCATTCATGATCTCAACTATTGAAATTACTACAATCTCCACAAAACCCCTTCTGATATACACATTTTCTTTTAAATAGGCAGTGAAAACTTCAATCTAATCAGTAGACCGACTAAAGCTATGTAATAGGTAGTTTATGTTATGGTATTCTCATTCCATGGAGTTGATCAAATGGTTTAAAAAATAATCAGACTTATAATATTTATACAATAAATTCCAATTAACATTTTCTTGGTTCAATAAAAATAATCCCTTCTTTAAATATACAAAGTTACTGTTCATTGAAGTGTAATAATTAGGTTAACGGAAAAGATTTTGATTGAGACCACAATCCCTAAACTAGTAACCACATGTGCTCACTAGTGACTAGCTTTGTGAGGGAATTCTCGGAGTTCTAGTGAGAAGCCGTGACCAGTGGAGCTAATCCATGTCGGGTAGAGACAGGTATCTACCTCAGTACAATGGAAGATGGTCGCGCAATTTCGTGGATTGGTTGATATTGATCCAGTAGGTCAAGCGTTCGTGCGCGAGACTGAAGACCCTGGGTTAGAATCCCGTAAGCGGGATCGTGGATGCGCACTGCTGAGGAGTCCCACAGTGGGACGAAACGGCCGTCCAGTGCTTCTAGGTTTCCACAGGTGGTCTAACATCAATTGGTTCATGATCTCAACCAAAAACTTAGTAATTTCGACAACCCCTATATTAGTAACGAGAAAGAGATTTACCAGACAGTATCTAGTTCCATCATTGTACAATCTTGATTGTCATCAAAATATTTTGATGACACAAATATTACTTTCCACAGTTTTTCACTATTCATTTAAGAATCATTTATAAATATGTATAGCAAAATGCATTTCTATGAATTCATGATTTCAAATTGAAATGAATTCAGTTCATTGCTTAAAAGCTATAAATAGTTTAGGATGAGTTAATGAATTCAACAAATGAAAAACATGGCTTATGATTAAACCTTGGATTTCTATGAGAATAAACTGTTTTGTGACAATATTTCTTAAGATCATCTTTCGATCGTAAATTACGATTATATCATGAAATTTATTCACGAAGTATGGATTTTCTATTGACTTCATAGACTGATGTGATATATTAGCTTGGTTGCCCTCCGGAATTTTATAATGAACTTATAAATTAGTGAGAAAAATAAAGTATGCAAAAAATATGCTTCAGCCATCTTAACCCACGAAGCTTCTCAGATCTATCAATGGATTCATCTTCAAAATCGAATACTTGACTTATTGTATAAAGAAGTCAAAAGTGTTTGTATAGATGTGGAAATGATTTACATAATATCTTAACGACTTAGTAAAGTGTAAAGAAAATCCAAGACATCCATTCAACGAATATTGATTACAGTTGTAAACATAAACCACTAGAAATCGATTTACTTCGAGAGCAAAATGTTCGATAGTCGGAGCATAGTAGATTAGAATCTGGAAGTAAAATAGAACAGCTGTTTTATATCTTCCACTGTAAAACCGTTCTCCACCTCCTGTGAGTTCTTATTATGAAAGTGCCTTGAAAACAAAAACAAAATGCTCCATGCAAATCTATTCAACTTACGGGTTGAAATCATGAGTCAATTGAAGCTAGATCACCATGGAAAACATAGAAGCATTGGACGGCCGTTGCGTCCTAGTATGGAACTCCTCAGCAGTGCGCATCCACGATCCCGCCCCCCGCGAGATTCAGTCTCGTGCCAGGCGCTTAGCCAACTAGACCACTGAGCCTTCATCCAACGATGTTAATGTCTAACTTCAACCAATCCACGAGGAGATCGTGGATGCGCTTTGCTGAGGAGTCCCATACTAGGACGAAACGGCCGTCCAGTGTTTCCAGGTTTTCCATGATGGTCAAGCTTCAATTGACTCATGATTTCAACCAGTGAAATTTCTAAAAATCTCTACAAAGCCCATTCTGATAATATTTAACTTACTTTGCATTTCTCAAATTTATGGTAATCATTAGTAGTTTCAACAATCGAATAAATAAATAAAAAACTGAACAAAACATCAAACAACTCACTTCTAACATAGAAAGCATAGAAACTTCGTCAACTAAATTTTCACTTAAATTTTGTAAATTTATATGAAGAAAAGTTCCATAGGCTTGACCTTCTTCATCATTTGGTTTCTATATAAATGAAAAATTGTTTATGTATATCTTTAGACGAAAAATTAGAAAAAAATTTGTCAAATCTTAGTCATATGTATTTCAGAAGACAAGACTACTTGCCAGTTGATTGAACAGTGATAATTTAGTTAAAAATTGTATTCATGTTTTTAGAAAAAAGCCAATTAAGATAATATGCTTGAGTAGCATTTCAGATAGCGAACAGTTATTTCATGGTGAAAATGAAGGTTATGAAGTGACCAATGAGAATGAACTTCTCATCATCATGTTGATAGAAGATCGAAATATGAATTGTATCTATTAATACATACTGCATAGATTCATGCTAAGCAAACTATGATGATAATTAGTATACTGAAACATGTAAAGAATGTACCACCGTGTGATCGAATAACATCAGGTGTACATTGAGAACATTTAATCAGTATTATAGACGATGCCAAACTGACTAGCCAGTTTATAAATCTAACTTGTACCTTTACGTTTTAACACCTCCAGTTTAATCTCATTAAATAAAGTATGCAAAAACTTTGTTTCTAAACATTTTGTTTTCCGTAACTTAAACTATTTACAGATGAAGAGAAACTTTTATGTTATTCGAAACAAGTTGGGCTGTTCTTGTTAAGTGTCTAAAGTCAAAAGAAAGCTATCCTTGTATAATGGTTACAATCTTAAGAATTATCGATTGGTAAAAGTTTCCATTTAGTAAATAACCCTTTACAACCCCCCCCCCAAGATTATCTAAAGTATGGTATAGAAGTGATCTATGTTAAACTATAAATGTATCACGAAATGATCGATTACCAACAGTCTTGTCATTTTGTAAACAACTCGTAGCTGATGCTGTTTAGCATATAAATCGTAAGATAAATAAACAGAATAACAATAAATTTCATATATAAACTCCTTGCTTACAGTTAATACAAGAATCGATGAAAATAGCTTATTTTCATCAAATCTTGTTAACTTCTTCAATACACCATTTAAAATAATCATACAATGATCAATAATGATAACCATCATATTTTTCTGTACACTTTCAAAGAATTCTTGAGTTTCCATATGTAATTGAGTCTGTAAATAAAGTGATAAAAAAATGAATAGTATCAGAAGGGATTTTTTGTGGATATTATAGTAATTTTATTAGTTGAGATCATGAGTCAGATCAAGCTAGACTAACATGGAAAACCCGGAAGCACTTGACGGCCATTTCTTCCTGTTGTAGGACTTCTTAGCAGTGAACATCCAGGATCCTGCCTAGCGAAATTAGAGTCCGAGCGAGATGGTAACTCACCGTTGACAATGTTGGACGGTGGCGAAACTTCATGGATTGGTTGAAGTTAGACATTAACACCATTGGATGCCCCCTCTATGGTCCGAACATTAAGCGTTCGCGCGCGAGACCAATAGATCCTGCGTTCGAATCTCACGAGGCGGGATCGGGGATGCGTACTACTTGGTGAGTCTCATACTAGGATGAAACGGCCGTCTAGTGCTTCTAGGTTTTCCATGGTGGTCTAGCTTCAATTGACTCATGAATTCAACTATTGAAAATGTGTATATTTAACACATAAATGTTTCTTGGTTTTCAGTGGTTGTTTAAATCGAATCAGTCAATGTAAAATACGAAATTCAACAGTGAACTTTATCACTGTTCAATTTAAATCGGATAATCACTAATAACTAGAAAGTAAAAATGTATCTGTGTTAACAAAATCTTTGTTTTCTCTAATGACTAGATTCATAACTAAATTATCAGTGTTTAGTCGGAAACTATTGTTTGTGTATACAAAGAATAGTAGCATAAGAAAGTTACCCATTGATTTCACGTCGGTTAATAGTTACCCTATATTTAAAGTGTAAGGAAATTTCAAATACTGCATATTAACTGATTAGTGTTATTTGAAAGATCTGAAAGTTCCAGATTTAAACTAGTATGAGTGTACATATTGTTGAAGAGTAATAGCAGTTTTCCGAACGATATGAACTTGAAAATGCATGGAGATTCAACAGAATTAACCAATTCAATTATTTCGTATGATTTTAAGTGTGTTTGGACTTATGGTAAGGTTGTGGATGCACTTTTCTGAATAGAATCATACTAGTGTATAAAAACCGTCCGGTATATTCTTGATTTCAACATCTGTCTATCTAAGGTGAGTCCATCAATTAAACTATCTAATGTGATCCCATAACTAATTTAAATTTTCAAAATAAACAAATGATATCGGTAATGTTGTTAATCAAGTTGATCCCAACGTCTATTTATCGAATTTGACAACTTTCCACATTCACTACTAGATATCATTATCCGTAAGTCAGCCAGTAATATACAAAATATTCCCATTCGTTCATGAAATCACACCACATCAGCATAGCGAAATGAAATCGTCATAACAAACAACAGAGTAATTGAAGTATTAGTGATAATAAAAAAAGATTAGGTATATAAGATACGGTTCTAGAAGTAATTACAAATTCGTAGAATATTATAAAAAACCATAAGATAATTTAGAAATTTAGGATCTAAAGACATAAAGAAAGTGAATGCACCTGTGATGTTGTAAACTACCCTGAGCTATGTTGCCTAAAGTACTCAATTATTAGTTCAAATAATCCCAAAGACCAAACCAGGTAATCTGCACCTACGTACGCGGCCCAGTTCAACAATCAATAACTTCATCCAATAATTTCATGTCTTAATTCGACTATCCTTAACTTTCTTCCATAGACCAGCCCCACTGAACTTAACGGACATCAAGGAAGCACACACAGACCTCCGTAAAGATGTCACTTCATCAACGATCAAAGGAATCAGGATGGACATCAGACAACCAAGAGTAGGAGAGAAGCAGGACCTAACAATATACCAGCCGAAGCACAAAAGTCAGACACAGAAGTAACTGCAAACATACTTTATGTTCTGTTTAAAAATATTTGGGAGGAAGAACAAGTGCCAAAAAACTTGAAAGATACCTCATCAAGATACCAAAGAAAGATCTGAGCAAGTGTGAGTTAACATACTACTATCAGTACTAGGAAAGGTTTCCAACAGTGTTGCTGAACCAGATGAAAGATTCAGTGGACGTCTAAATTCGAGGTCAGCAGGTCGGATTCCATAAGGATTGGTGCTGCACAGACCAAACCATGACACTACGGATCCTCGTTGAATAGTCAATTGAATGGAACTTGTCACTATACATTAAATTCCTTGACCATGAGAAAGCATTTAACAACGTGTTTAAAAGAACCTGATGGAACCTTCTTCAGCACTATGGAGTACCTGAGAAAATCGTCAACATCCTACGGAATTCATACGACAGAATACGCTGTAAAGTCATGCATAGAGGACAGTTGAGGACGCATTTCAAGTGAGGATCGGTTTCAGACAAGGCTGCTTACTCTCCTCCTTTCTCTTTATTCTGGTGACTGACTGGATTATGTATATCTCTACCAAGGAACACATTTCGCTGGGAATCGGAAGCAGACATCAAAAGAATGAACATAAATTGGAAACAACTGGAAACGATAGCCCAGGTCAGAGTTGGTAGGAGAATCCTTGTGGGCAAACTATGCTCCTTCATGAGGGTTAACAGGTGTAAGAAAGTAAGTAGGTAAATAAGCTTTCTTCCAACCTACTGTTAAACTAGCTATCGTTGCAACCTGATATAGGCTCTGATTTTATGCACAGAGTACGTGACTCAGCCACCTAATTCAATGAACCATCATCACCGCTTCAACCTATTTCCAATCCTTATCTAGTGCTCTCGATGGTTGAAACATGCATGAGTAATATTTTGAAGGTATCTATGCTCGAATATCAGTAACCTCTGGGAATTCTCTATATTTAAAAGCAATCAATAATTCAAAATAAAATATAAATTAATGGAAACAAATATATGAAATGTAATAAAATGTATCTTACTGCATTCCTAACTGGTTGACGATGTGATCGTGTAATATTATTACTAGTATTATTGATTACCATATTTACTGGATCAGTTGGATGACATAATGAAAATAAATGAGCTCTTAATTCACTAATTGTATTTAACATTGTAAAACATTCTAATGGAAGAATTAGATCCACAGTTTTGGCACATTTTCTAACTAATGATTCTAGTTCTATTAGAGTACTGTAAATAAAAATTAAATCATCATTGAAAAAAATATATAATTACAAAGTAAACCCATTAATTTAAAACATAAATGCTATGATAGACTAAGACATAGGATCAGTTAAGTGGAACAAATTATCAATAATCTAATTATCAGTATGAGGTTGTGGAGATTGTTAAGTTTTTTATTCAGATCATGAATCGATCAATGTTATCTCATTTAAAGTATCATTGAAACTATGGAGTACTAGACAATTGTTTCATCCTAGTATGGGAAATGAGAGTAGATGACTGAGACAGTTCATACATTATTTATTCAGTCATTTATTTATTTAAACACATGGATATTGGTACAAGGAGGAATCAAATATATATGCACCACACTTCACCAATTGATTTGTGTGAGAGCGGGAATACTGCCTGAGTGTCAAAACAGAAGCAGGTGGTTTTCTTAGGGGGCCATATTTAGAATCTTTGACCTATAGTTCTAATCCACAAAGTAGTGGAGCAACGTTGGAAGATGCAGTCTCACGGTAACCGGTTATCAACAAAATGTTCATACGCCATCAGTTCCCTCAGGATCCTGGAGCCCATGTACACCATTGGTTTGAAATCAGAGTTTTCCAACTCCCCTAGGTGGATCCTCCATGTCCATCAACCCGGTTAAAGCGCCGGACATTCGCTTTTCTTCCTCTCAATTTCGTAAACAACAGTAATGCCGCGAGAATGCAGTGAGTAGGACTTCCCTGGCAATGGCTGTATACGTGTGGCTATGTGAGAGCATTTCGAGAGGAAGAGCTGATTCTCCACTTCCACGGCAGCAGCAGGGCATTTATGGGCCATTATTTGAAGGAGTGATCAAGTTGGAAGCAATTATATTGTTTACTAGGGTAGCATATTAATTCAGGTTTATCTTATCCTATGTCTTTCTCCTTTCTACCACTATTTTGAGTTTTATTAATAATTGTATTGAGTAGTATTTTGAGAAGACACAACTATCATCTCCCCCTCTCATCTCTTCGTCAATCTGTCGAAACGGATGTATAAAATATAAACATCCAAAACACTTTTATTCGACCTTTTATATACTATTGTTCTAAACTAGTTAAATCGATAAAACATATATGAAGTAATTTGGATCTATATTCCATCGACATAATTCGCTACTCGCTCACATTGAATTAAGACAGAGAGCATCTAAAAGATCAACCTGTGACGAATGCAATCTACAAATTAAACTGATCTTCATAAATCTGCATCAACAACATATATAATAGGCAAAATCAAATGCAAAAAATTTAACTAACCGTTTTACAACTTCTCGAAGCATTTGTGCACATAGTATGCACACCCTTTCATCCAATGCTTCAGCTAAAACCGATTGAGGCCAATTTAATTCATGAATAAATTTTTTTAATTTATATAATCTCCATAAGAGTTCAATAACGGTTTGGCATGTTTGACTTCCAATCATATTGAAATTACCCGATGAATATCGATATAATTCTGAACCAGTTGATGTTGTTGTTTGTGGTGTTGCTGATTTCTCTTTATTCTGAATATTTTTAGTTGAACAATTAGACGAATTCCATTCAATATCGGTATGGTGAAAAGCTGGTATATTAATTGATGAGGTTTCATTGGGTTTTCCAATATCTTCCATTTTAGTAAACGATGCTAAGGAATTGTGAACACTTAATAAAGACTCAGCTTTATGTTGTGAAATATTATTGATACGAAGTTCACTTGTACCTATTTGGAAAAAAAGTAAAGCTTTTACTCAATATGAACAGCCATTTCTTCTTTGTCTTAGAATTCTTAGCCGTGCATAGTTATGTGTAAGTGGCCCATAGAGAAAGATAACTTTAAGCAATTAATACCTAGAAGTTCACATTTTTAACTTTAATTAAATGCTGGAAGTTCTAGGTTCAACCTTTAGTGAGACCGTTACCATGCAGTCCTCAAGAGTTGTCAAACAGTTTGAACAAACTGTCTAGCGCTTCATGAATTTCAATAACTTAACAGTAACGTATTATTTCAGGTTGTAAAAAGCAATCAAGTGCATTAAAATGAATTACTAATAACAATACATAGCTTGCCTTCATTTCTGTCTAATTTCGAGGCTGGAATCCAACGTTCATTCTTACATCCCTCTATTAATGCTTGTTCAATAGAATCCGCCATTAATCCAATATATCGATCTACCAATGGTGTAAAACGATTAGCTAATTCATAATGAAATCGACCATTAGATAAATTAGCTGTTAAAAAAGATGAAAAAATTTAGAAAGTTTTACAATATAAAAAAATTAGTATTGCAAGGGTTCCCTTAAATACAATTGAATATAATCTTTATTAAACATTTGTACCAGTTAGTAGCAATTAGAGATGAAAAAGAACTGAATATATTTCTTTTAAACTCTAAGTTGGGACTTTTTCACAATGAACACCCACAAACGTATTGTAGTGTGTGCTACTAAGTAGTATGTATCACCAATCAAAAGTGAAATACCTGGAAGCAGAAGCTTAAGAAAATCAAAGGAAATAGAACGAGAATAGTAAATGATTGTTGTGGAAACGAAGGAATAGTGAAGTCTGAGACAAGTGATTGATAATTTGTAAATGAATTATTTATTGTATAGTTCTCAGATTTCACTAAGATATTCTGTAATTTGTGTGTTCAAATGCATTTAATTGTCCTCACTTGTGTTCTCGTTCAGTACACTATGTGTGATCAAATATAGTACCATTAGAATACGATACTTTTAGTGTACGATGTTGAAATTCATTAAGATCATTAGTTCCCAACACCAATCAGTTTATGATATAGTCTGATTCTTATTGAGTTTTTTAAGAGGTAGCTAGTAGATATATGAATTATGTGTCATCATCAAACATTAATTCTTAATTCAATTAACTTACAATCATTTAATAGGTAATTATTCAATAATTGAAATAAATCGAACACTTCCCAACAATCTTCTGGTAATCTATCCAATAATTCGAATAGATCCATTTGAAATAAATACCAAAAATTCTCTGTATGCTCAACAAATAAATCATTGAACCAGGAGAATGACTAGAATAATTTCAATCAAAAATAGAGACAACTTTTAAACAGAGCACATTAGAATGTAGGCATCAAGACAAACGTTTTATTAAATTCACTTAGGCCCCCAAATGCCCTGGTACTGCCGAGAGTGGAGACAGTCCGCTCTCCTTCTCCAAATGCTCTCACATAGCCACACGTATATAGCCTCTGCCAGAGAAGTCCTACTCACTGTTTTCTCGTGGCGGGGGTGTTGTTTACGAAAATGAGAGGACGAAAAACGAATATCCGGAGCTTTAACCGGATCCCAAACCAATGGTGCACATGGGCTCCAGTATCCTGAAAGAGCAAATGGCGTATGAACCAATCGTCGGTCACCGGCTACCATGGCACTGCATCTCCTTACGATGCTCCACTGTCTTGTGGATCAGACCCTCAGGTCGAAGGCTCCGGGTGTGGCCTTCTAAGAAAACCACCTGCTTCGGTTTGGGCACCCGGGCAGTATCACAGCCCTCACACATATCAAATGAGATCTGTGTGGCGCATATGTATTTGGTGTCTCCTTGTACCAATATCTATGTGTTAAAATAAATAAAAAAATTCACTTGGTATTGTTTACTTGAATCTTCCGATTGATGTTTAGGATTGCAATTGATCAGTCTGTTATTAACATATGTACATACTATCCGTCTTTGCTTATAATGCTTTTGAATTAAGGCAATATCGCGGTAATATGCACAGTGTGCACATATGCCAATAACAGACTGAGCACTTGCAGTCCTAAACATTAATGGGAAGATTCAAGTAAACAATACCAAGTGAATTTCAACTTCACCTCATTGCACAAGCAAATGGCTATCAGGACTCAGTAGCTAGGTGGATAACGTGATGGCGTTTGAAACGAACGTTACTGGGTTTGATTCCTAGAGTGAACATCAACTCTGAGATGAAGGTACATCCAGTTGCAAGTCCCAACCAAATAGGTCGAAATGCGCGTCAAACTGGATTTCACTGCTAGCCACTATTCATCTTTGCTTCAAACGTTTCACTAGCTTCAAATGATAACAAACATATTTAACTCGATATGAAGTTACTACAATGAATATGGATGCAACAATTCAAGTTCACATTTAAAAAAGGAAAAACTTATGTATGTTATGTGAATGTATTATTCACCTCAGAGTGATGTTGTTCATTTTGTTTAAGTACTTCGATACAAAGTTCAGCTAAATGATACATTTCATGAATTTTTCTGCTTTCTTTATTTGTGTCTAAAAGAATAAAGAAAAAGAAAAGAATCCAACAAGTCAACAATATGGGTTATTTAAGGTGTTTTTATTATCATCTCCAAACAATATTGTAACAGTTTCACAATACAGATTATAGACAAGGATTACTGATAACAAACTGATTTATGTACTAACAAATTATACTACTGAATAACATCATTCCATTCAAGTTAGATGGTTAGATTCAAATAGTTTGAATACCATATCTAATTGAAATAAATATACTAAGTTGTATTACTGATCATCTAAGATTCAAATGAATCAAAAGACTTCATGGGCTTTAACTATGATAGGTTGAGTTTTAATTGAACAATAATGAATGGTTATAAGGCAGATAACCTACCTATGAAAACGATGTTTGATTGACTTTCAACTTAAATTCATCCTAATCCATGCGGTAGAAAATTTTAGGGAATAGTTTGTTGTAATAGTTAAGCAAACAGTGAAAAAGTATCAGTCGCTTTTCCAACTTCAGATTATTTAAAAATAAATGGAATTTTAGTTTGATTGATTAATCAAAAAACCGCAAATTGAATAATGAATACTAATGAGTAGTTTGTTTAGTTTCATTCAAAAAATAAGTTTAAAAATGATTGCTTACTTTTAACTCGTGGTCCAGAAACGACTGTAATAAATAAATAAACAAATAAATAATACTATCCAGTTATTGAACTAGATAACAAAAGCAGATTAGTAACTAAGCTACGATAATAGTTTTTAAAAAATGATTACGCAATAGTGGATTGGTAAATATCACTCTTGGCTTAACGTTTAAAAATCATTCATCGTTTAGAGTACTGATGTACCTGAAAAAAAAGCTTTAATTATTAGCGTCATGATGATTAGTCGATTTTTTAATACATGAAGATCTTTCTACTTAAAATACAACGTCATCATATAGATTTTAGCGTACTATTAACCATGTATTCTTGTATTTCTGTTTTAACTTGTGACCGCCGATCGGAGAGCAAGGGATTATCGATCGGACCAAGGATGCGTAAAACACGTGCGAGAAGCCTAGAGTTCTGATTGATCCTGCTTCCCGCCTAGACCAGCCAGTTAAGTTCAGAACACCAACCCGAGCCTCTGCGATATGAATCATTATATTTCAACCATACTCTGTTTATATACCAATCAAACAGACCACAACGTATCAATAAAATATGAAACAACATTTGTACAAAAATTAGCCAGATGTGGCTGTGAATGAGGGGGCAGTGACTAATAAACAGGGAACAATTCAAGAATGGAAAATCATATAATAACAGTTTATAGGTTAAAATAAAGCCTATGATAAGAGAGACATGAATATGAATAGTTTAGTTAATTAACAATAATACGATAAAAATTTACGTATAGTATTGGTCTACAAATGGATCCCAAAAATTACCACTCATTATTCTAATCGAGGCATAACAATTTCATAACATTAACGTGCTAGTTTTGGGCCCTTCGTTTTGTACATTTTCTAGCTAATGTAGATATAAGCTTTAACATATTGTATAGTATTGTAGTGGTATCACGTTGCATTCTTGTTTCATTTGAATCAATTTTTATCAGAAAATGCCACTAATAACCCCTGAAAACTCTTTCGACAATCCGAGTAATCACTCAGAAAACATTTATTGGATGTATATATCTAAACATTGTTTTGGAATAACACATTCAGAACTAACATAGTTAATTAAATATACTATCGGACTTGACCAACATAATGCTTTACACGATTGACAAACATTTCGTTTGGATTACCTAGTCTTCAAATTATTGAAAGTAACTGTGATTAATTCGTGATTCAGCTGACAATACAAATACCGATGTTGTAAAAAGGTTAGTTCTAAACGTTTTACTATTTTGTTGTGGGATAAATCAAGTTACAACATATCAATCTTAATTTAGCCAATTGTTATTAAACTGAATGCGTTTGGAATAATTCTGTAATTACCAATAATGGATTATGGGACAAAACTGATAAGTGTATTAGAATAATGTGCTAAGACTCAAAATTGTTAACTCAAAAGTCAAATTACTCTTTTTAGTAGGCTTGTTTAACGTAATATATAACTTAAAGTATAATCGGCTATCTAATTCATACTGTAGTTGACGCTACTCAAAGGATTGTTTGTAATTAGTATATGATGTAACGTGGCTTCAAAGTCAAAACAGTTGTCTGACGGATTGAAGAGTTTCAGCATATCAAAGTACAAAGTAGACAGAATATGTGGAGACCAGACGAGAAGATAGTACAGATGGCAGAACACACCGGAAGATGCAAACGGATAATCGAAGACTATGTATATGTATAATGTAAATACTTTGTAATAGTGACAGAAAAATAACCAGCACAATGTTTAACTAAGTGTATATCGGTAGTCCATATCCATCCACCAACTTATACAATTCATTTCAGACATTATGAAAAATTAGTAACAACATTTATTAATATGGCTGTATTTCAATTTAACAATTTAATCAAGCGATTATTTTTGGACTACTCAATCTATGTTTTAGTAGTTTCGTAATAAACTGAAAAAATCACACGAGCAATTTTGAAAGGCAATGAATTAATTCCCTAATATACTTTTAATTTTCAATTGAATACAGATAAGCCTGTAGATAAACAGACAATGCTACGATGAAATAACTATGACGTCGGTTGCCAGCTGATTTCATACAGACGAGTATTGAAAACAATAACTAAGTAAAACTTGCAAATCAATCTAGAGCCTTACACATCTATTTGTTGGATCAGGTTTCTGTGTCAAATTAGGAAGAGGATAAAAAAGACGCATATGAAATGAATTAAAATAATGCAGTATAAGTGATAGTGAAAAAGGCTAATTATTGAGGATATGGTTCCAAAGCTCATAGTCTAGGGCATAATATAGAGGAAACACATCTGCTCAATTATTTTCGATTCCGAGTCGTTTCGCTCAGTGTATCCAACAAATGATCGCAATAATTCTGAGAACCTCAAACAGGTAGTCCGCACCTACCAACATAGGTCAGTTCAACAATCAATAATCTCATTGGCTGATACCACGTTTGACATGGTTGCAACTAGTTTTCTTGTAGCCTACTCTTCAGCTAACAAATATGGGTGATTGGTGCAATTAATGATTGTATATGCGCAACACATATCTCAACTTCCTTGTTCGGTTAAAGTTTGCAACTTTACTAACTGATGTGCTATCTTTATCTGTTACCCTGACTGTGTCTGACCTCAACATTATCTATTCGTCAGTAACCATACAAGAGCAATTCATCGAAGAGAACAGTGATGAAAATCTACAGTCAGCTTGTGTATTTGCTTTTTAAAGATCATGTTTCACACCCATTGATTATTACAGAGTGGTTAGCTGAGTAGTATACTTACCCTTTAGTTAACAGACGCACATACCACCTACGCCACAAGTGACGTTAGTTGACAAAACCTAATCGGGCTTTCTGAATCCATGTTCAGATATAATTAGACATCAACTCACTGGGATTAATAGAACTTTCATGATAAGTGAAGTGGTTAATATGTTCAAATACTCCTGTCTCTATCATTAGTCCAGGCGTTGACAATGACCAGTCCTAGAGCAAGAGAGAAGTGCATCCCGAAAATACTTGCTTTGTTACTCAAGGAGATCAGATAATTAGATTCCGTCAGAATCTTCATCAAACAAAATCACACCATTTAAGCATGTCTTCTGTTAAGAGATTAATTCCTTAAATTTCAGACAATTTGAGCGATATCTGTGAAAAAATGACAATTACCTGGAAATATTGGTTAAATATCGAGCTTGGATAATGAGGCTTAGAGATTAAGATTTAATTCTTCGATTTCTTACCCAAAAGATGGAATGATGAGACAGTCAAGAGGTCAATTTATAAAAAATTCACATGAAACAAACAGTAGATGAATTTTCATGATCTTATCTCAATTGAGTAAAATAAATCTAGTTCACTCTTTTAGTTATGCATTTATAAAGATGTACAAAATGGACCATATAGAAAATGTCCTAGGGTCTCCTAAAACCAACTTTCTTTACTAATTAATTGTGCTTATATAATTAAATATAAAATCTTAAATTACCTTCAATCATAACATATTCAGAAATTCGTTCATAGTTCAATACAGCTGCATTTCTTAAACAATTACGTATAACATTACGAACAAGTTCAGCTGAAGCTGGTTCACCGGTTTCTTTTGTTAAAACCTGTATCATGAAACAAATGAATAGTTTAAAATAATTGATAAAGGTTCAATGGAAGGAGTGTATGGTATTGAATTTAATAGTGTGAATAACAGTTAGACAACTACTTAGAGGTAATTATCGGAGTTATAAAGAGAAGTCATGACCATTGGAGTTCAACCACGTTAAGTGTGAGACGGTTACCTAATAACTGTATTAAAAGACGGTTGCACAATACTACGAATTGACTGAAGTTGAAAAAGTAAACCATTGGATATTTTAATAGTCATTTTTCAATCCGTTTGATATAGAAGAGTAATAATAAAAAAGAGTTCCTAAATTAACTTGATTACCTTGGTGAACATTGTGTTAAAATAAGTCAAGTATGAGAGTGATTTTGAATAAATATATTTCATACATCCATTAATGTGGATAGATGATAAGAGATGCAAATCGGAGAAGTCAAATTGACTTATTCAATGTCATTAAACGTGACTTAACATTTATAAGCATGAAAAAAATACATGTGTATAGATACATAGGTAATGTCATCAGTACATGTGTCAAGAACAAACACGTTTACATGTGAGTAATCGACAAGAACAAATGTGTGGATGACATAATAGATGGAAAGATTAGAATAATTTATCTGTCCAAATGTTAAGCGTAGACGTGTAATTATACGAAATACTACAAACCCTTGGTTTTATGGCTTATCACCCGGTGAAAGGTTTGAAGGTCCTTGTTTCAACAACAAGTGTGTGATATATGCGATAGTGTATGTGACGCATATCCTATACTAAAGTAAAACAACTGTCCGTTGTCTACTAGCTCTCAGTGGTTAACTGAGATAAGTCCATGATGTAAACCATAAAATATCTTCGGTATGAATGATTACTATGAACGAACATTTTTATTAAAAGTGAATTAAGACGATGAAAAAGTTGAAGATTTCAGTCTTTAGAAAACGGATCTGACAATTAATCAGCTACAAGACAAAATCTAAGTTTTTGAACTTGTAGAAGTTACAATAGATCAGTTCAGAAATTTATAGACTACCTGGTTTACATATGATTACATTGGTAACTTGTTTCTTTTACATTCACTTCAGTCAGAATATTTAATAATAATCTAGTAATTCTTACTAAATTTCAGACTTGACAGTATTAATTCATCTAAGACTTAACTAGAGTATTCTAGTTTATTGAATAAAGCTAAATACAATCATCAATCAAGTGTTTAAAATTATTTAGCAGTAAGAAACAGAATTTATAGTTCACTTTCGATTGACAAATCTATTTCAGTCGGTGTAATTTGTTGAATATCTGAGTTGTTTCATGCTGTTTAATTAACTAGAGTAATTTAATAATTTTTTCACTTGACTTTTATTGATTTCTCTAAGTGAGCAGGTAAAATATTTTCATATATTGTATTTGTAAGGGGGGCGACTCCAAAAATTACCACATCTTTTATTATAATATTCACGGTCTTGTATCGAAAAGAAGTTAGAACATTTGAACGGTCTATATTATTCGATTCGAAACCAACAGTTTACAACTGTAATGTGTCTAGTGAAAGTAGATCATGAATGATCAGTAGAAACAGAAGAGACAGATCTGTCATGTCACATACATGTTTATTTTTTGTATATAAACGTTTGTTATTTTTTTTATGTTGTCATATCATAACCATGTCTCGATTATTATGTGCTTCTTTTTTTGTCAGTCAGATAATCGAATGTGAATGTATCACTCTACTAAGCAACATCAGTGTTAAAACATTATTTTTTTTATGTCCGCAACTGTTAAATGAACTTCAATTGTTACGATATTTGTTGAAGCATTGAATTTAGTCACGAGTTCCATTACATAGCTACTATCGTTATAAGACTTTAAAGTCTTGAGTTTTATACCATGTTGAATTATGGGAACAGTTTCTAAAGTATTTTTTTATAACCAATGATGAATAGTGGCTAGCAGTGGAATCCAGGACTCGCATTTCGTCCTATTTGGGACTCGTCAGCTGGTCAATTGCAGTCTTAAACCTCAATGGGAAGATACAAGCCAAACAATACCAAGTGAGTTTGTAAAGTAGTTTCAAGCTAAAATATTCAATGTTTATCTAAATTATCTTTCAATAAATCACTCTACTATATAATTGTTTCGTTTTTAAAACAACCATGTTTAATCAAATGTTACTTATTATAATCAAGTGCCAATTGTTCTTGTGGAATAAACCATCTATCACCTGTATCAATATTCATTTAATTGATTCAATAAAATTCTGACAAAAAAGAGACATTATTAAATGTTAAATGGAGAACAGCTATAAAATATCAAATACAGCCTTTTTTAACCTATAAATTTGATTTGATCATATTGAATACCAAAAAAAAAATAGTTTACATGTGACTTTTACCATTGATTTAATTTCATGATTTTTAGTCTAATTCAGACATGATTTTAATTTTAATTTTAAAATCAAATGTATATTTAATAGTTGAATTCATAAGTCAATTGAAGTAAGATCACCATGGAAAACCTGGAAGCACTGGACGGCCATTTCATCCTACTGTGAGACTCCTCACATAGTACGCATCCACGATCTTGCTTCACGAGATTCGAACCCAGGACCTATCAGTCTCAGGTGTGAGCACTTAACCTCTAGATTTATAAAATTCAACTATTAAATTACTATAATATCCACAAAACCCCTCTTTGGTTATAATCATCATATACTCACTAGTGACGGTCTCCAAGATGTATTTCCTGAAGTTCTAGTGAAAAGCCGTGACCAGTGGAGTTCATCTGGGTCTGTTGTCAGAAAGTAACTCACTGATGACAATGTTGAACGGTGGCGCGACTTCGTGGATTGGTTGAAGTTAAACATTAACACCATTGAATGACGGCTCAGTGATCTAGTGGTTAAGGGCTCACGCACGAGACTGAGAGGTCCTGGGTTTGAACCCCGCGAGGCGGAACCCTGAGTGCACACTGCAGAGGAGTCCCACAGTAGGACGAAACGGCCATCCAGTGCTTCCAGGTTTTCCATAGTGGTCTAGCTTCAAATGACTCATGAATTCAACCACTAAATTACTATAATGTCCACAATACCCATTTCTGGTTGATATTTATGATTGTTTAATTGTCATAATTCTTTTTAATTTCCCTATGAATACCAAGCTTCCAAAATTTTTCTTTGTTGTTAAATCTTTTTTAATTGCAACAAGTGTTAGCTTTTTTTTTCTAACTTGAATCATATATAGCGTAGGTTGAAGGTCAGTATACTGTCAGTATACAGTTCACTCTGTTTTACTGTTGAATAAGATATCTGATATTAGTAGTCGTGGTAATAATGATTACCATCTTGATATTATGATTTCATTATGCATTGTTGATATGATGTGGGAAGTTGAATCGATGTATATGTATATGTCAGTTTTTACGTTACATATGAATAATTGATCAACTCAATGACAGATATCAGATTTCTAATCATTTTTTAAAAGAAAAATTATCTATATACGGATTTACTAAAGATGATATCATACGGTAACAGTATTCATAAAATTTTAATTTATTACAATTAGTTAGAATGAATGATGTATTACATTGTCTTCAGGTTCTATAATCATAAATTCATAGATGATATTTGGCAACAACCAGCATTTAGAATGAATATATATGTACATACGTTTCGACTGACAAAGTCAGTCTTATTAAGTTTATAGATGTATATATATATATATATATATACTTTGTAATTCGATTTTATATAATGGGTAATAGGGGCAATGTAACAGAGTGAATAATTTCAATAAAACATTAATATACATGTCACATGTACTACACTTTCTAGATTATATAACATGAAGACAATGTTATAGAGAATAAATATTTGCTCAACTATTGCTATATTTAACTGTTAATAAGATTTCTTGATGTAAAATCTTTACATATTCGGGCAGCATCATTGATGAACACTGTGGATCTGATGCAGATGTGAAGGCGCGGATCGGCAAAGCAAGAGCAGCATATTTACAACTGAAGAACATCTGGAACTCAAAACAACTGTCAACCAACACCAAGATCAGGATTTTCAATACAAATGTCAAGACAGTTCTACTGTATGGGGCAGAAACCTGGAGAACTACGAAAACCACCATCCAGAAAATACAGGTGTTTATTAGTAGCTGTCTACTCAAAATACTTCGGATCCGTTGGCCAGACATCATCAGCAACAACGAACTGTGAGAAAGAACAAACCAGGTCCCAGCGGAGGAAGTAATTAGGAAGAAGCGCTGGAAGTGGATAGGACACACATTGAGGAAAGCACCCAACTGCGTCACAAGACAAGCTCTCACATGGAATCCTCAAGGCCGAAGGAGGAGAGGAAGACCGAAGGACACATTACGCCGGGAAATGGAGATAGACATGAGAAAAATGAACAAGAATTGGATGGAATTAGAAAGGAAGGCCCAGAACAGAGTGGGTTGGAGAATGCTGGTCGGCGGCCTATGCTCTATTAGGAGTAACAGGCGTAAGTAAAAAAGATTTCTTGATCAAAATGAAGTTCTCTATATACTTAATATTGAATGTTTAGATTTACTAAAATGTCTCATTTCTGATGAATTTTTTAAAGTCTTGATATTGATCATTTGTTTACATTTAATTACCCTATTTAGTGGATAATACAATAAATTGTTATTCATTGAATTGATTTCGATGTTCATTTTGTGAATTTTGAGGAAAAAGAGAAAAACCCAATTATATTAGTTAATGTTTATCAGTTCTTTCATTAAAGTCAGTGCGTGAAGAAAAATAACCAGTAAAATATTCGATCTGTTATATCCGAGCGAAGATTAAATCACAAGTAACTACTGAGACATATTAATTGACTAATATTATCTATACATTCTCATAGTATAACTATTCAATAATTAGATTATGTATATTTATATTACTCTTATTATAAGCTTCATTTTGATCTATAATTTGTTATTGTACGATTTACTGTTCTTAAGC